GCTGCAGTGGCCGTAGCTGGTGTTCCAGGCAGCTCCTCATAGGTGAGGGTGGCACAGAACCGTCTCCACAGACAGCAGCTTGCCCCGATCAACAGCAGCAGCAGCAGTCCCCCGATGGTGCCCCCGATCACCAGGGCCAGCTGCTCTGGGGGCAGAGACCACCAGTACTGTGATGCCTGCCTGGGGAAGCCACTCTCCCTCACAGCCCTGGCCTGCTGGGGCAGAACTGAGGCAGCAACCCTGGCCTCTGGGATTGATCTCAGGAGTGGCCCCTGCTGGGGAGGGCTTCCGGGAGGAATGCTGCTGGCTGGGTTCTGCCAGATCTCAGAGGAAAAGCCGTTTACCCCAACCACTCCCCTTCTAGGGTCTGAGGGCCCTGGGCAGAACCCTCTGGTTTTCCTTGGAAAACAGCTGGCCCTGCCCTTGGGATTCTGGCTTAAAGAAACCATTTTCTTGTGTTTCTGAGTAGAAATCAAACCTGCCCTCACCAGAACCTCCATCCCCTGGGCTCCTGTTAAGGACAGAAGGGGCGCTTGGGTGTGGTCATAGTCAGTTAGGGAAAACCCTGGAAGGAACCTTCTTCCTGGTCTGCAATCAGACCGCTACCCTCTGGGGCCCTGGAACCTGCTGTGAGGCTGGACTCCGGCTCAGGTTCCCTGACCTTCTCTAACACCAGCTCCCTCCCCTGGCCCTCTATCAAGGTGAGCACGCGGTGAGCGCTCAGGAGACTGGGTGGGAGGAGGTGGAGGGGGTGGGAGGTGGAGGGGTCAAGGACCCTTTGCTGCTGGCCCTCACAAGTCCACATTTGGGGGGCTTAGGAGGCTTCGCCCAGGGGTGCTCAGACGCTGGGTCCCAACCACCGGCCACCTTGGCTGGGCCAAAAAGGTGCCTCCCTTAGGGTGACAAGCGGGCGCCGGGCATCCCGGGCTCAGGCATCTGGACTGGGTAGGGTGGTGAGAAGGCGGGACCCCCACACCTCTTAAGCTGCAACTGACCGCCAGGAGCGGATCTCAGCTTCCACTCCATCCCACCGCCCCTCTAGGAGTGCGCCGAGTCCGGGCAGGACAGGCACTGCACCCCAGCGGGGGCGGCGGGGCGGAGGCAAGTGCTGAAAGGGCCACAGAGGGGCCGGGGCCGCGCAGGACTGGGGAGGCGAGGGTGCTTACCCGCCATGGGGCTGCTCCCGCAGGCTGGTCTCGCTGGTCTGGGCTCTTGGGGCTGGGCTGCAGGGCTGGCTCTTAAAGCGCGGCAGGACGCCGTCGGGCGGGCGCTGGGGCGGTCCGTGGTGGCGCTGGTGCCCGCTGCGGTGCGAGGAGCGGCGCGGAGCACGGAAGGGGCAGGGACCCAGCGCCCTGAGGCCGCAGCCCCGCCCCAGCCCGGCCCTGGCCCAGGCCCAGGCCCGGAGGTGAAGGGGCGCAGAACCTACCGTGAGCTCCTGGAAACCGCAGGGCTCAGGCGAGGCGGGTCCCGGGCGCCAGTGCCAGCACAGCCTTTCCTAACCTCTCTCGCTCCGGGTCATTTCACATCAACTCTTTCTTGTAGGGACCTCTGTGACTACACGAGGCTCATCAGATAATCCAGGATAACCGCCACCCCCATCTCAAGATCATTAACATAATGGCACCTGCAAAGCCCTTTTGTCATGTACTCATGGGGTTGGGGGATGAGGACGTGACCTCTCTGGGATCATTGTGCCGACCGTGTTGTTCATGCAGTGCCCTGGGACAGGTGGCTTACATTTCCCCTTCCTCTGTCTAGAGCTCCCTGTGCCCCAACACTGAACTCAGGCAGCTAGCAAGGCTCAGGTGACACCTACATGGAACCCCTCAGCTATCCTGACACCTTCCCCCAGCCTCCCTGCACCCTGCCTGACCCGCCCTAATGGTGCATGTGGTCCCACCCACACCAGCCGCCTCCATGATTGGGCTCGAACTGCACTCAGGCTGTTCTGGGGGGTGGGGTGGGTAGTGGGTATTTTTTGAAAAGGAAATCCCTTCTGGTACTTCCTGAGTGCCAGGCCCAGAGCTGCCATCTCTCAACCTCCATGCTGTGCTTTTCCAAAGTCCCCATCTTCCTCTGTGTCGCCAAGTCCTGCCAGCTCTTTCTCCTCTGTCCATCTTTATCATGGCAAAAAACTCGCGCAGCCCTCCACCACCTCTCATCTGGAGCTCTGCGTGGGCCTCCTCTCAGCTCTTCAGATTCGATGCTGTACCACCTCCCCTCCCCGGCTGGTGTCTACCAGTATCCCCTCCCATCCTCATCCCCTCGCACCTCTCTGCAGTGCTCATGCCGGGACTTGTGCAGCTATTTCCACAGCTCTGCTGATGCACTGGTCCTTCCTACCACGCTGCTCTTTCCCTGCCTGAAATACTCAGTGCCCCTCCCACCCTCCTTCTCCACTGCTCATGTTTCAAGATGAACCCTCAGCATCTTGCCTTCTGTGAAACCCTTCATCTCTCTCTCCTTGTCCTCATGGTCCTTGCAGCTACTGTGCTGAATATGGGACTCTGTGCCTGTGACTGCTGCCCCATCCCACTCTTCCTGGCAGCCCAGGGCTTCCATGAAGGCAGGGGGCCATGTCTTATTCAGCTTGGAATCCCCAGTATCCACCTCCGGGACTGAGGCTGTGCTGCATGGCAGATGAAGGGCTTGCGCCATCTGGATGAGCTATCCCAGCTTCTGCTCACATTGTCCATGCATCGTACACATCCTGAGCTCACAATTGCCCATCAGGAACTCCCTGTCCAATCAGGTTGCCAGCTCTATCTGCAAAATCCTCACACAGCCAGCCAGCCCACTGAGTTTCGAGTCTTTCTTCTTCCACTGGAAGGTGAGAGCAGGTGGCAGGAGGGAGCTCACCTTTCTTGCTGCTCCTCATGTTTTGAGAATCACGATAGAGGCTTGATGTAAACGATCCCATTGAACCTTGCCTTATGTCTACCCTGCAGGGTCATGGCCACCTCCTCAGATGAGGAATCTGAATCAAAGAGGCTTCGTGGCCCACCTTTAAGTGATGGCACCTGGCTCCCTCGTTCCTTCCTCACCAGTGACCAGCTATAGGGCAACCCCAGGAGACCCTCTCCTGTGGTAATGATGATGAACCAGGCAAAGAGCCACAGGCACTGTGGTCAGCCTCCTCTCCAACCACTGTCCCAGGGGCTCTGAGACCTGGCTGGCCTGGAATCAGCTCCCCAGAACAGAAAGGCATTCAGGATCTGGCTGCAGCTCTGGCTCTGCTTCCTGTTTTCAGACTTTGTTCTTTACTGTGTCTCTGGAGCTGGGAAGCCTGGAAACAGCAGCCGACATGAGTTCTCTCTTTTAGGGCCAAGCAGAAGTTATATTTCCATGGCAAAAGCACTTCCAAGGAGGGCTGCAGGAAGTCCAAGAGTTGAAAGACCTGCAAATGCCTACAGGTGATTAATAATTCAGTGCAGCGGATGATTCATGAGAAAGGCCACTTTCAATTAACCTTAAGAATCATCCCTGTCTAAGGAAATGCCATCTCTCATCGCTGAGGAACACCGAGGCCATAGCAGGATAAAGGCCACACTGAGAAGCATGTGGAAGACTGTGTTTCCCACATTCATGCAAATTCCACCAGGTCAGCCCAGCTCCTTCTTTGTGAGGAGGAGGGCTCCCACGCCAGCATCCTGTCTTTTCTTTGTTTCTGCTAGGGCAGCCTCAGGCTTAATTTCCTCCAGCCCCTTCTTTCGGGGAGCTTGGAGGGAATATCTTTCCTTGAATATCTTTCCTCTGTTGTCCCCCACTGAAACATGCTAGTTCCAAATGTGTCCCTTCCTGCAGACAATCACTCCGAGTGGCAGGGTGGACCCGCGCCTGTGGCTTGCTCCTGCTACTGAGAGTGGTTTCTGCCTCCTGCCTTCCTGCTCCCCTGCCTGCTCTCAACCGGCACCAGAACCCTGCCTTTCCTCTGGAGGAAACAACTTTCTTCCCCTTCCCTGTCCACGCAGTACCTGGTACTCCCCTCCTTACCCCTGTTCTAGGGCTTTGTCCATGACCCTGGCCTGGCTGCTCAGCCTAGTTCATTTCTGGCCACAGTGATAGATTCAGGGCCCGTGACCCCACCTTCCCTGCGACAGGCTAATCAGGATCAATGCTGGAATTCTGTGGTATCTGCTGGGGAAGAGACGCCCCCTTTCTTGCAGGAATTGTTGAGCAGGAGGAGCTAAGTCTGGGGCCATGGAGAAGCCCTACGTGGAAGAGCAAGAGAGGACGGAGCCAGCACAGGCACACAGGACTGAAGTGCAAGAAGCTCTTGCATCCTGCCGCAGGCAGCCCCAGTCTCTGAAGGGGTGGCGGAGGGGAGTGAACTGGCCAAGGGCACCGTGCTAGGAAGGAGCTGCGCCGCTGTTGGCATCAGCTGTTCCAGCTCCAGGGTCTTGACCACCAAGGCTGCCCCTCGGCAAGAAGCAGAAGTCAGGAACGGAGGCAAGGCTTGTCCTTCCTCAGTTGTCACCTCAGCTGTCCTAGTTTATTGCTGTTCCCCCACCTTAGGGATGGGGTCTTATCAGCCAGGGCCATTGGTGGCAAACAACAGCTAATTTACTTCTCAGCCTCCATGGCTCACTCCTGCCCCTCGGCCAGCTTCTTTGGTGTTAACAGCTGACCCATATTTTCTTTTTTCTTTTCTTTTTTTTTTCTTTCAGGAACAGCAATGTGCTCCCAGGCGTGCAGGCAGAAAGCATTTTTTTTTTTTTTTTTTTTGGCGAAAGTCTCAGTTTTGTCCCCCAGGCTTGAGTGCCATGGCATGATCTTGGCTCACGGCAACTTCTGCCTCCCAGGTTCAAGCCATTCTCTGTCTCAGCCTCCAGAGGAGCTGGGATTACAGGTGCCTGCCACCATGCCAGGCTAATTTTTGCATTTTTAGTAGAGACAGGGTTTCACCATGTTGGCTAGGCTGGTCTCGAACTCCTGAGCTCAGGTAATCTGCCTGCCTCGGCTTCCCAAAGTGCTGAGATTACAGGCATGAGCCACCGTGCATGGCTACGGAAAGACTTTAATATGCTAAATTGATGTGTTGGTTGAGACATGAAGAAATTAGCTATCAAACTCCAAAGAGTGGCGACAGACTAAGAGGTAGATTTCCAAAGGTGGCTGAGAACCCGCTGGACAACTGGCCCCTAGTGAAAGGAAGGGCTGAGAGAGTGAATGAGGCAGGGAATTTGCCGGATTCCTTTCCTGAGGGCTAGGGCTGTGATGTGGATTCCCACCTCCCAAGTTTGGCCGGGCCTGGGGTGGGACTCAGGGAGGGAGGGTGCAGGTGGAGCAGAGGATAGCCTGCCCTCTGGCTCAGAGAGCATGGGCTTCAACAACACTGCTCTGAGAGCTTGCTTTCTGTCCCCTGGAGTTTGAGAGGCAGGCTGACTGGCGGTGGGGGGCAACACAGGCAATTGTGGCTTCTTGGTTCTGATGAAGAGAGCAAGCAGCTGCTGCACTGGAAAGCAGCCGGGCTCCCTTGGACGCCAGCCGAAGGTTTGTGGATCCTGCGGACATAGCACGCCACTGGTAGTGCAAGTGTGGATTAGAGTATGATGGGGAATTGTCACCACCCTGTGCCTGGGGACTTGTCAGGCTGCAGAATGTGTGCATATTTCCCACAACCAGATGTTGGCCGTGTGAATGAAAGAGCCGGTGTGTGATCATCTCAGCCCTGACCACAGGGCCTACCTACCCAGAGGGCCGATGCAGCACAGTGGAAGGAAGTAGGAGGTGAACATTCTAGGGGCCGAGGAGGGAGCAAGTGGCTTCTGATTCATTTGCTCAGGTCAAGGGCACTCTGGCTCTTGAGTGGGGATCAGGGGTGAAGGATGGAAGGGTTTCTTACCAAGTGCCCACTTGAACATGAAATCTCTTTCAGATCCAGAGAGGGAAGGCATCTTACGAGACCATCAGGACAGAGCTTTCCAAACCTCTTTCCCTTCCTATGTTCATGCTCTTACCTCAAAGTCTGCTGTGGGCAGTGAGAGAGGAGAGAAAAGGCTGACCACGGCACCATCTCCAAGGGCAGGGGCTGTCTGGCCGGTCCTCACCAGGGGAGACGGGGAGACTTAACTCAAGTTTGCAGATTCGATTATTACCTAGGTGGCCCTTCTGATGACTGCCTTGTGACTGTGGGGACGTGGCTAGAAGGGAATGATCTCGCTGAATACCTGCTCCTTCCAAGTGTGGCCTCCGTAGGGAGCTTGGGTCTCTCCTTTGTTCGCTCAAAGAGATCCTGAGATCTTGAACAATTTTACTGGGCTTTAGCGCTCAAGGCTGAGTTTTCATTTCCACAAACAAATCAGTTAAAAGTGCTGAGCGCCGGGCGCGGTGGCTCAAGCCTGTAATCCCAGCACTTTGGGAGGCCGAGGCAGGTGGATCACGAAGTCAAGAGATCAAGACCGTCCTGATCAACATGGTGAAACCCCGTCTTTACTAAAAATACAAAAAAATTAGCTGGGCATGGTGGCGCGTGCCTGTAATCCCAGCTACTCAGGAGGCTGAGGCAGGAGAATTGCCTGAACCCAGGAGGCGGAGGTTGTGGTGAGCCGAGATCGCGCCATTGCACTCCAGCCTGGATAACAAGAGCGAAACTCCGTCTCAAAAAAAAAAAAAAAAAAGTGCTGAGCCTGTGGGAAGGCTGTTCTTTGGTCACCTTCTGTGGCCAATTAAATGATTGGTCCCAAGCCCTCTCTTCCCTGTACCGGTATTGTACTCCCATACCCTTGCAACATGGTGGGTGTATTAGATTGTTTATGTTGCTAATAAAGGAATACCTGAGACTGGATGATTTATAAAGAAAAGAGGTTTAATTGGCTTACAGTTCTGCAGGCTGTAAAGGAAGCATGGTGCCAGCATCTGCTTCTGGTGAGGCCTCAGGAAGCTTCTACTCATGGCAGAAGATGGAAGAGGAGCAGGTGTGTCAAGTGTCAAGAAAGGGAACGAGAAGGGGGTTGCCACACTTTTTAAAACTACCAGATCTCATGAATGGCATGAATGGCAAGGAGGGCACCAAGCCATTCATGAGGGATCTGCTCCCATGATCCAAACACCTCCTTCCAAGGCCCCCTTGGAACATTGGAAGCCACATTTCAACATGAGATTTGGAGGGGAAAAAAACTTTCAAACCGTATCAGTGGGAAACATATTTCCCTATGATTTGACTTTGAGCATGGCCATAGAACTTGCTTCGGCTGTGGGAACATTGGCAGAGAGAACGCGGCAGAGGCTGGAACTGCACTGTGTGGCTGGCCTTGCTCTCCTGTGCTTCAGCCATGGCAGTGAGATGAGCATGGCCCAGGGAGAGTCGGCTCCAGGGCAATGAGTGCTCTGTGGCGCAGGTCCAAACGCCACCGGGGGCCTGAGATCGAGGGGTCCAGCCTGAGTCAGCAGACCCCAGCCAAACCACAGACATGGAAGGCAGAAATGAATGCTTGTGGATGGTGCCACAGAGACTCTGTAAGCAGCAAAAGTTTAGCGAGACACGATCACTCTTCTGATTCCTTTGATGAGGCTAGAGCTGCGAGCTGGCAGGCCCACAGGACTTGTGTTCTCTCCACACGTCTCAAAGCTGTGGCTGGGGTGGGCAGTCTTGTCACTTTTCCTTACTGAGTGGCCTTGGTCTTCTCTGGATTGGCCTCCGCTGCTGTGGGAGGAAAAAGGGCTGAGAGGTAGTGGGCCTGGGGGAAACAGAAGGTTTGTGGGGGCATCTGGGATTGTCACACAGCATCATTTTTCATTTTTATCATTTTTCTGCTGCAATAGTGCCCCAGTTAAAAGTGCCCTTTGGGAAAGCCCTTCTCTCCTCTTGGGTGTGGTTGACTTGGGTGTGGTTGACTCCACCCTCTGCTTCCAGAGGGTCTTAATTCCTCCACAGGTCCCTCCTGCTGGCTGCAGCGATTGGTTCAGAGAAACACAGAGCTGATGAGCTGCCAGGCTGATTTCCCTGACAGTGCTGGACAGAGGCAAGGGTTCTTCCTGTGGGTCTTGAATTTAATGAGAGAATCTCAAATGATGAGAAAAAAGCCTGTCTGAGGACAGGGTCAACTGAATAGCTGGTACTTAGAGAAAGAGAGGGAGAGAGATACTGGATCCTGGCGTTGGGTGAATGAGATAAGGCATGAGGCTAGAACACCACCTGGTTTTTCACTTAGCTGAGCCCACAAATTCCCATGTGTCCTTAATGCCAGCTCGAGTAGGTATCTGCCATTTGCAACTACAAGTTTTCAGTGATACAAGATTGCTTTGGGTCCTCTGTGGTCCAAACTTGTACCTGGCCCTATATTAGGGACATACACTTTTCTTGAGTTTGCACGCGCAAATGTGTGTTTACATTTGGACGTAGTAGACAAAGAAATTTATATAAGGATTTTGAAACTCTGACCAATTAAATAATCTACATCAAATACTTTACTTACATTGTTTTATTAATTCATTCATTTTAAAAAAATTCATTCATCCTTTACAACCACAATGTATGGCCGGTATTTTTTTTTTTTTTTTTTTTTTTGAGATGGAGTTTTGTTCTTGTTGCCCAGGCTGGAGTGCAATGGCACAATCTCAGCTCACTGCAACCTCTGCCTCCCGGGTTCAAGTGATTCTCCTGCCTCAACCTCCTGAGTAGCTGGGGTTACAGGTGCCAGCCACCACGCCTGGCTAATTTTTGTATTTTTAGTAGAGACGGGGTTTTACCATGTTGGCTAGGCTGCTCTTGAACTCCTGACCACAGGTGACCCACCTGCCTTGGCCTCCCAAAGTGCTGGGATTACAGGTGTGAGCCACCACGCCCGGCCTATAGGTATTTTTTCACTTAGGAAATCTTTTGGTTACAACTTTTAGCAAATCTGACTAAATAGGGCTTAAACCATAAGAAGGTTTGCTCTCATATTTCATTAGCTCTAAGATGCCATTGATTGTGAAATGCACCACTCTCACACCACTTTCTTTGTATAAGCAAAAACTTTCTACCGAACCATGAAACCATTCTTTACTATTAAATCAGATGTCAGAAGCAACTTGATTTCAATGGTGTCAGAAAGTGAAAAAAATATGTTTCTTGGGACGGGAGAAATGGTGTTACTTAGCAAGACATTTGTTCTTGGGTGGCCTCAGAGTCGACCTGGCAGCTCAACATCATTATCCAAGATTCAGGTTCTGCGCTCTGTCACCTTAAACTTGTAGGATGGCTTGGTGTCTTCTAATACCAAGTTCAAAGGCAGGGAAAGAAGGAAGGGAAGCTGATAGGGCAAGTGTTTATTTCCTCACTCACATCCGTCCTCTCATCAGAAAGCCTCCAGCACACTGACCCTCATGCCTTGGTGCTCACTGGCCAGACCCACACACAGCCATGCTGGTTTCAAGACCAAGAAAGTGAGTATCTGATATTTTCATTCCTACAGTGGGAGATTGCTGAGGGAAGAGGACATAAGAAATGGCTGTCGATGCCACAGGATTTCAATTCCCATTTTACAGATGAGAAAACTAAAGCTGGAAGAGGTTAGATAACTCATCCAAGGTCACGCAACTAGAAATTGATCAACCCCAGATTTAAACCCAGTGTTGAATGATTCAAAGTTCTTCCCATTGAACCACAAATCATCTGTACCTTAAAGACTGAACATTGAGCAACCTCAAATATAGAGCAGGTAAATAGTGAGGAATGTGTTTGGATGAAATACCAGAACATCTGACCATCAGTGGATTGATAGGGATTTATTGTTGTTATGTAACCAGCACCCAGAAATCAGCAGCTCAGGGTGGTTCAGATGCTTAAGGGTTTTATCAAGATCCCAGGCTCCCTCACCACCTTCTGTAGTGTGTGGCTTCTGTCCTCAAGTACACAGTATGGCTGCTGTGTCTCAAGGCATCACATCTAGCTTTCTAAGGAGTCCCTACCTGGTGATTGTCTCTTACATCTCATTGGTCAGAACAAGGTCACATGTTACTACCAGATACAAGGAAGTTACAAGGAAAAATACATTTGGCTAGCCAATTGTCATCCTGGTCAAAACTGGGGCTCTGTTTTGGAAGAAGAGAATAGGGAAATTGGGTAGTGGTTGTCATTAGTGCAGTGTGCATTTGGCCACTATATCTGGTTTTCTTTATTCCAGGCAGATGGTACAACCCTTGGGATTAGTCACGGATGTGTAACTTAGTTTGGCCAATGAAATGGGAGTAGAAGTGACATGTATCCCTTTCTAGTGGAAGCTTTAAGAGTTGGTTCACAAAAAGACACATGCACCCATATGTTCATCACTGCACTATTCATGGTAGCAAGGACATGAAATCAACCCAGGTGCCCATCAATAGTGGGTCGTATAAAAAAAAATGTTGCGCCTATACACCATGGACTACTACACAGCCATAAAAAAGAAGGAAACATGGATGCATCTGGAAACCATGATCCTAAGTGACTTAACATAGGAACAGAAAACTAAGTACTGCATGTTCTCACTTCTTAAATGGGATCTAAACATTGGGCACACATGGTCATAAAAATGGGAACAACAGACACTGGGGAATACAAGAGAGTAGAGGGAGGGAGGGGGTTGAGAGTTTATTAAAAACTGCCTATTGGGTACTATGCTCCTACCTGGGTGATGGATTCATTTGTACTCCAAACCACAGCCTCAAAATACACTTTTGTAACAACCTGCACATGTACCCTCTGATTCTGAAATAAAAGTTTTTTTAAAAAGACAGTTGGTGCATTGTTCCCCAAGTTTTTTTCCATTGATGTGATGACTGTAAAAGCATGTGCCGAGAATCTTCCATGAGGAACAGAACCCTCTTAGCAGCCTGTGATGGACATAGAGCAAGGGTGGGAAATAGACCTGTGCTTAGTTAAGCCACTGCTGTTTTTGTGAGGTTTGCTAGTGCAGCATAACCCAGACTATCCTGACACAGGTCGGCAATCAACAGTGTCCACACGTAGTCCTCAGGCAAGGTCATGATCAGACCAGTGAGGAGTCAGGACCTAGGTCTGAACTGGCATAAACAGTGCCCCAATTTCTCCAAAGTGAGGACTGTGCCAGTGGGCCTCAATTTGAGACAAAAATTGGGAGCCCACAGCTCCCAGACACTGGGGACTCCCTTTTATCTGGAGCTGCCTGGATGCCACGTATGAGCCTGGTGACCCAGCCATATCTACCAGCTCATTAGCAGTGTCCATGTCATCCAAGGCAGAGAAATCCACTTAGCGAGGATTTCACAAGTTAGTCCAGCATCCTTACTTCTCTCTCATAGTAACAGAAATCACGTTCCCGCCTCCATCAGATGCACTGTGCTCTGCACTCCCCTGGTCTGGGGGTGGGTGCAGGAGGCAAATTGGGCCAGTCAGATGCTGT